CATCTGAGAGTTGGCCAGTGAATAAGGATGACAGAAGAATTGATGCTTTTGAGCTGTGGGGTTGTAGAAGAGAACTGAATATCCCATTGACTGCTAAAAGAAAAAACAAATATGTCTTGGAGACGGTGCAGCCTGAGTGCTCTTTGAAGGCAAAGATGATGAGGCTTCGCCTCACATACTTCGGGCATGTTGCTAGGAGGGACTATTCCTTGGAGGACATGATGCTCAGAAAGGTGGAGGGTGGGTGAGGGAGAGGAAGATCCTTGACCAGGTGGACTGACACAGTGACTGCCACAATGTGTTCTAATGTGTCAACAAGTGTGAGGATGGCACAGAATAGGACAGGGTTCAGATCTGTTGTTCATAGTGTCGTACTTGACTCCACAATACCTTACAACAAAATGTACAGGAAGAGAATGTTCATCTTTCTCCTGCAGAGCAGCTGGTAAATGACAGCAAACTCTCTACTGAGCAGTTATTCGAGGGAAGAGAAAAAGGGAAGTAAATAAAAATAAAGAAATTAGGTGAATGAACAAATGGGCTAGTAAGAGCTCAAAAACCTGGACCAAACAAAAAACCTTAATCTATGAACTTGGTGAAAAAGGGCAGATGACTGGCTACCACCATGACCTAAAGTAAAGCAAGCGGCTGGCACATCAGTCCTGGGTCTGGCTGGCAGCAGAATTCACTGCAGTTCCAGGTTCCTGGTCCAGAAGGATGGTATTCCGAAGTTCCCTAACCTGAATAGGAACTCGTAGATCTACTTGGCAGAGAGCATGATGAAAAGAAACTAGCTGTGCCAACAACCACACCTGATTTGAAACTTATCCCTGCTATCTGGACATCCAGTTTCTCAAAATTTTATCTGAAAATGGGATAGAATTTACCTTGTGGGATAGTTATGGAGAGCAGGGTTAATACATGTACAGAACTACCATCCGGGAGGGGTTATACAGATAAATGTGTTGATTTTTATTACTGTCAACAGATGTCAGTTCATAACTGCAAGTTTGCATAACTATATGTTTAAAATACAGTCAAATGCCTTTCCATAGTCAATAAAGCATAAATAGGTATTCTTTTGGTATTCTCTACTCTCAGCCAGGATCTAGCTAACATCAGCAATAATATTCCTGGTGCCACAACCTCTTCTGAATCTAACTTGAATTTTTGGTAGTTCCCTAACTATGACTGTTCTAAATGTCTTTGAATGAAATCTTCAGCAGTATTTTACTTACATGTTATATTAATAATATTGTTTGATACTTTCCACATTCCGTTGAGTCACCTTTCTTGGGAAGGCGAACAAATATGAATCTCTTTCAGTCAGGTAGCTGTTCTCCAAATTTCCTGGCATAGACTAGTGAGTGCATCCAGGGCTGCATCTGTAATTTGAAACATCAATTGATATCCCTTCAATTTCTGGGGCCTTATTTTTTTTGCCCATGCCTTCAGTGTAGCTTGAACTTCTTCCTTCCTTACCACTGGCTCTTGATAATATGGTATTTCTGGAAAATTTTCAGTATCAGCCAGTTCTTGGTACAATGATTAAGTGTATTCCGCCATCTTTTTTTCCTCCATCTTCTTTTGGCTAACATTGAGAAGAATGGGAATCCCAGAACACTTAATCATGTTCATGCAAACTCTATGCCTCAATCAAGAAGCTATTGTGTGAACAGAGCAGCGAACACTACATGGTTTAAAAGTGGGGAAGGTGTATGTCAGGGTTGTATCCTTTCCCCATACCTATTTAATCTGTATGCTGAGCAAATTATTCAAGAAGCTGGACTCTATGAAGATGAACGTGGTGTCAGTATTGGAGGAAGACTTATCAATAACCTTAGGGGTGTATGTGTGTGTGTGTAAAATAACCTTGCATATGCAGATAAGACAACCTTGTTTGCTGAAAGTGAAGAAGACTTGAAATACTTGCTGTAGAAGAGCACACACTGCAGCTTTTAATATGGATTGCATCTCAACATCAAGGAAAAAAATTTCTCACCATTACACCAATAGGTGACATCATGATAGATGGAGAAAAGATTCAAGTTGTCAATGACTTCATCTTAGTTGGACCCACAATAAATACACTTGGCACCAGCAGTCAGGAAATCAGGAGATGTATTCCACTGGGAAAGTCTCCAGTTAGGGACTTCTCCAAATTACTGAGGAGCAATGATGTTAGTTTGAGAAGTAAGGTACACCTGATTCAGACCATTCTTTTTCAATCATCTGTTATGTATCTGAGAACCTTACAATGAGTAAGTGACAGAAGAAAAACTGATGCCTTTGAGTTGTAGTGTTAGAAGAGAATACTCAATATTGCATAGACTTCCAAGAGAACAAACAGGTATGTCTTGGAAAGAGTGAAGCCAGAATGCTCCTTGAAAGTAAGGAAGGTAAGCAAGAAGGTATTCCTTGGAGAAGGACATCATGCTTGGAAAGGTGGAGGGATGTTGAAGGGGACGAAGACTCACAACCTGGTGGATGGACACAGGGACTGCAGCAATGGGCTTAACTGTGTCAGAGATTGTGAGATTGACACAGGATAGGGCAGAGTTCAGATCTCTATTGTTTATAGGGTCGCTATAAGTAGTACTCAACTCAATGTACCTAATAATAAAAATAATAAATGTTTAAAATATTTCATCTCGCTACAAGAAGTAGGCAAATGTATATCAGCAGCCAGAAAATTAAAAGATGTATTGCAATGGGAAAGTCTGCTGTTAGGGACCTCTCCAAAGTACAGAAAAGCAATGGTGTCTCTCTGGAGACTAAGGTGATACAGGTCTTTGCAATCACTTGTTATGCATCAGAGAGTTGGACAATGACTAGGGAGGATAGAAGGAGAATTGATGCCTTTGAGCTGTGATGCTGGAGAAGAGTACTGACCATACTCTGGACTACTAGGAAAACAAACAGATTCATCCTGGAGAGGGTTAAACCAGGCTGCTCCTTGGAGGAAAGGATTCTGGGGCTTCATCTGACATACTATGGTCATGTTGTAAGGAGGGACTGGTCCTTGGAGAGGGACATCATGCTTGGGAGGGTAGAAGGACAGCGCAGGAGGGGAAGATCCTCTATGAGGTGGAGTGATTGAGTAACTGGGGTAATTGGGTTGGGTGTGTCGGAGGCAGTGCGACTGGCACAGGATAGAGCAGGGTTTAGGTCTCTTGCACATAGGGCTACTACGAGTCTCAAGTGACTCGATGGTACATAACAACAACATAAGCTAAAAAGTATCATACAAATGTAAGGTCAGTCTTCCTTTATTGTTGAAAGAGAAATTATATTTTTTTAACAGAAATAGATTTCTTTCCTGGCTCTATTATTTACTTTCCAGATAATTTTAATTAGATGGAGATAATCCTTACTTTACAGCACTGTTGTTCAGTAAGTCCTATGAGGAATATGAAGCTCCTGGCACATACCTTCCTGGCAGGCATGGGTCTATTCAATAGGTTAGTTCCACGTCTGGGACAGAACAACATTCTGCCAGTTGGATACTAAAGGGCTCTCGACTCTGGAAGGGCAGTGCTGTAGACTGGCAGGGAGGTAGAGTGGGGTCTTTTGTACTTATTAGAGGAACACTAAGTTTCCATTTGGAAAGCATTTTAAAATCTGCCATTTGAAGCCAAGACAGAGTCAGCAGCATGGAAGCCATCATGATCCTGTCAAGCTGCTCCAGTGTTGGGAATTGAATTATTGTCACTGAGGGCAATGACTTTCATTATGAGTCTTAAGATATCTCTCCTCTCCCACCCCTCACCCTCTTGAAACTATCATCTTTCCTAGGAAGAGAATAAAAGTGCTATTATTAAAAACTGAAATGCTTTTGATGTGTGGTACTGACTTCCACAATGGTTCAGAATTCTATCAGGAGGTCACCTCCTGTTTCTGGAGACTCACTGGTCACTCCTCCATGAGGCTTATTGTCCAGAAGCCAGCAATGGGAATGTAGTAAAACACAAGCTCAGAGTGAGGAAGATCAGAGTTTGAATTCTGGCTCCACCAAAAGCCTGCTGTGTGATCCCACAGCAAATGGCTTCAACTTTACTCATCCTGACTTCCACACCATATTCCCTGAGAGTTGATGAGGGCATTATCTGAGATCATGAATAAAACAGTAAGATTTGTGTCACACAGTACTCAATTAGTTCCCTCCCCCTTTCTTCCTCAAAGGTCCCAAAGACACAGCTACCTTTCCAGAGCAGTCACTCCATTCTGTCTTTCATTTAAAGTTCAACTACCTCACAAAATATCTGCACCAAGCCTATCTCCCCAGCTCCCAACTTCTTTGATGCACCCCAAATAATACACAAGTCCTTTTCATTGAAGAGTTTTACTGCTAATCTCAGAGGGAATAGTTTCAGGTTGAGATAAGGAGGATAAACATGGGGGAGCATGAAAGTCCCTGGTTCCTGGCTCCCTGAAGTCTACCTTTTAATCCGTAAGGCAGGACTTCAAATCTCTTCTCTTGCTCAAAGAGGCCCCTTACAGTGGGAAGGCCTTCTTCTCCGCCCAGAGATCTGGAAGCAAAATTGCAGACACAGCAAACAGGAGCTAGTAGCACTATAGCCTTAAGCAAGTCATATAGAAGAGACAGGTAGCTCTGGTGGCATAATGTTTAGGGATTTGCATGGCTAAGTGCTTCTCTGTTGGTTCAAATCCACCAGCAGCTCCATGGGAGAAAACGGGCAATTTCTCCTATTCTATTTACAACCTCTGAAAACCTGCTAAAAGGTCAGCTATGAGTCAGTTCCGACTTGACAGGAGTTAGTTTAGAAGTGACACCCATCTCAGAGGTTCTGACTCAAAGCCCAAGGGACTGTTGCCCTAATGATATGAGTATTTTATGGGCCTGTCCTTTTTCTTCTTCACCCCTAATTGGTCAGGCAAACACCAGAAGGCTTAACATTCTAACGGAAGAAACTAGCCTGGGAAAAAGGCAATGATGTTTGCTAAAAGTCCTTTTGCAGGACTTCCTGGACATTTCGGCTTCAGAAGCAAGAAGAAACTACTCTCCAAAGTGGGATGTTGGGCTTGAGGCAAAGGGAGCAGCAACAGAGCCTCATGATCTTCCTACATGAGGCTGGTTTCTACTCACTCTCTGCACGGGTCTCGCAGCTGGCATCTTTCCCAGTCTGCTCACCCATATGAGTTTTCTGATGTCGGATGAGATTTGAACTCCGGGAGAAGTGTTTCCCACACAGAGTGCACCGGTAGGGCTTCTCGCCTCTGTGGGTCCTCTGATGTGCCCCAAAGTTGGAGATATCGCTGAAGGTCCGCCCACACTCTGTGCACTCATAAGGCCTCTCACCCGTGTGGGTGCGGTGGTGCACGCCAAAGCTGGAACTGTTGCTGAAGCTCTTGCCGCACTCACAGCAGATGTAGGGTGCTGGCTCGAGGTGGGTACGGTGATGCACGGCCAGCGTGGCGCTCTGGCCGAAGCTCTTGCCACAGATGTCACAGCGGAACGGCCGCTTGCCCAAGTGATCCTGCTGGTGCGTGGTGAGATCCGAGCGCCGCCGGAAGCTCTCCTGACACCTGGGGCATTTGTAGAGCTTCTCTTCCAGGTGGATCCGTTCGTGGCGAATACGGTTGGAGCTTCTAGAGAAGCTCTTTCCACATTCAGAACACTTGTAAGGCTTCTCCCCCGTGTGGATCCGCTGGTGTGTTCTCAGGTTAGAGGTATTATTGAAAGTTTTGCCACACTGGCTACATATAAAGGATATTTCATCCACCTCCTGCCTTGGATGTACAAATATGTCGTCCGACTCTCCAGCTGGAATGACTCCCCGCCATGGCTTATTTGGATATGTTCCTAGCGGCGGCTCCAACAGGTTGCCCTGCTCCTTCTCATCTTCTGATTCGTCCACGCTCCAGGGCTGACCCAGTTTCCCTTCCTCCGGCAGGTGCTGCTCTGGACCCTGCGCCTTCTCACTGCCCATTCCTGAGCCCTAAGAATGAACACAAATGGCCAGCACTTTTATTCTTTCCATCAGGTCAGACACAGTGAATTCTTTGTTCTTGTTAAAGGAGTGGGTGGAGCTACCACCAGAAAAAAAAGATCTTTATTAACTGAAATGTTTGGATAGAATTCCTTTTCTTACAAACTTTCAAACAATACTCCCTCCATTCATGAGTATTCAAAGCTAGTTACCAGAACAAAAGGCACTATGTCCATCATCAACATTTGTGAAATGTAAATGTTATCTTCTTTATGTCACTAATGAATGACCATCTAAATCTAGACCCTAACCATGTGCATGTAAAACCGCTTCTAAACAGTCCTCAACTTAGGGCTTCGGTGGCCTAGCAGATAAGGAGCTGTGCTAGCAACCCTAGGTAAGAGGATAGAATCCACTCCACAGGAAAAAGATGGGCAATCTCCACCTATCATGTGATTTACAGCCTCAAAAAACTTGCTAGATGTGCACACCTATGTTCTTAGTTGAATTATTTATAAGAGCAAGAAAATGGAAATAACCCAAAGGTTCGTCAACAAATAAATGGATTGAGAAATTATGGTACATTTACACAATGTAATACTATGCAGTATTAAGAATCAGTAATTTCATAAAACATGATATAATATAGAGGGGAGTCTGGAGAGCATATGTTGAGTGAACTAACTCAGTCTCAAAAGGACAAATACTGCATAAGTCCATTACTGTAAAAAATAGAAGGATAACTAGTAAGATGTGTATAGAAGTCCAAAAGAGGAAGGAGAGGGAGGCAAGAAGACAGAGGGCAGAGAGAAGGGAAAATCTGTAGGATAACAGAGTTTAGGGTAGGGAGAGGGGAGAGCAGGTGAAGGAATTGGGAAAGATCCAACAGAGACCTGAAAAGATAGGGTAATAGTAGGCATAGGTCACTGGTGATTAATTTTATAAAACACAATTTATATAAGAGATGATTTGAAAGACAATGTAAATGAAGCAATGTGTGAAACACAATGTACATGAATGTAGTGGTGGTGGACCACTGAGTTGGAACCAACCCATAGTGGACCCTCCAGTGGATTTTCAGAGACAGTTAATTGCATGGGGGAGATTGCCCATCCTTCTCCCCGACAGCAATTGATGGCCTTGAACCACATACCTTCAGAATTGCAGCACAGCTTCTTGCCACTGGGCCGCCAGAGCCCCCATGTATATATGAATTTTCTATGCAAACGAATATAAAATGTAAAACAACAACAACAACAACAACAAACCAAACAAAAGAAAAGAAACTGTTAAAAAAAAGCACCTTGCGGGACGGTCAGCTATGAATCGGTTCTGACTTGATGACATCCAACAACAACAACTATAGAGCAGGGTTCTGTTGCAACAACTGTGTCATAAGTAGGATACCTGTCTACCTCCTTAAAGTTTTCATTATAATACCTTTTATCCTGCTACTTCTGTCACCACTGAGTGGATACCAATTAATAGCAACCCCAAGTATAGCAACTACTTGTATTGGGACAAGCCCAACTTTTCTGCCCATTAAGATAAACTCCTTTTATGTTAAATTTTCTTGAAAAATCTTCCTTAGAAGCATCCATCTATATGCCTATTTCCAAAGAAACTAACAGAATCTCTAACACTCAAAGCTCTCTTGGTTGTTTATTAGGCTTTACTTTGAAACCTAAGTGTTCCACCACCACATCCTTTCTCAGACTCCCCCATAATATAGCAATTTAAAAGGTAACATTTGTTCCTGCTAGGGCCCTCGATGAGATAGATTGATTCAATGACTGTGGTAATGGGAGTAGGTGTGTCAGAAATAGTGAGATTGGCACAGGATAGGGCAGAGTTTAGGGCTGTTGTTCATAGGGTCACTGTGAGTCACAGGCAACTTAATGGCAGATAACAACAACAGGGCCTTCAAAAACCACTCCAGATCCTGGACTGATGGTCAGTGCCTACCTCCACACACTCTCAGACGTCAAACATACTTCAGGCAGGTTACTAGGAGGGGCTATTCCTTGGAGAGAAAGATGATGCTTGGAAAGGTGGAGGGTCAGCGAAGGAGACCCTTAACCAAGTGGATTGACATGGTGACTGCCTCAATGGGTTCTAATGTGTCAGAAAATGTGAAAATGGCACAGGACAGGACGGGGTTCAAATCCACTGTCCAAAAGGTGGCTATGAGTCATATTCGACACAACGGCACCTAACAACAACAATCTGCCTGACTGCTAAAAAAGCAAACAGAGATGTATTGGACAAAGTGCAGCCAGAATGCACTTTAGTAGCGAGGATGGTGAAATTTCTTCTCACGTACTTTTGGCATGTTGTTAGGAGGGGCTATTTCTTGGAAACGGACATAATGCTTGGAAAGATGGAGTCAGTGAAGAGAGGAAGATCCTCAATGAGATGAATTGACACAGTGACTGTAGCAATGGGTTTGTCAGAGATGATAAGCATGGACAGGGTTCATATCTTTTGTTCATTGGGTCACTATGATTCATACTCAACAACACTTAATAAAAATGTAATTGTTTGGCTAAAATGTAATTTCCACTGAGTGTCAGGATCTTTAGGATCTTTGTTTAATTTACTAATATAATCCGAACTCCTATGGCAGGTGCCACTCAGTTGGATTAAGCATTATATGTTAATTATTTCATTTGCACACTTACTTTCATTATTTTAAAGAAGAGGAAATTGAAGTTCAGAGAACTTAAGTAACTTGCTCAAGGGCACACAGTAGGTAATTGGCTGAACTGGGGTCTGTGCCCAAAATTCCAAAGGCAGTGCTTTTAACCACAACACTAACACTGGAGATGGGGGGAGGGAAGGAAGGAAGCAAAAGAAGGAAATTAACATGGTGGAGCTGGAGTACAGATGGCATAGGTGTATCATATTTAACTGAAGAGATCAAATATGGACCGCCTCAAGGAAGAGTGGTATTTGAGCTTGAATTTATGGTAAGATTAGGAATGAAGAAATGGGGAGTCCATTATCCACTGAGAAGACCATGGCTGGGGGAAAAAAAAATAATAGAGGCTAGTTCATATCACACTTTAGAGAGATTTTGAGGGAGAAAGGAGTCCGTCCAGCTTGTCTTCTCATGAGGACTGGAGGTGGAAGGTGCAAAAGTGGAAGGGAAGTAAGGTAGTGAAAAACAGATCAGGTCTAAAAAGTCCAGAAGATGGGGTTGTAGATCACAGACTGCGAAGGTTTGGGGTCTGGGTTACAGGGAAGGAAATGAGACTTCAAGGAGCCAAGCAACACAGCGTCTGAGGTCTCTGGGGCGGAAGTCCAGGGCTGTGGCTGAAAGAGGAATGGGAGAGGTATGGGGCCTGAAGAGACAAGGTGCTGAAGGACGAGAGTTGTACAGGATGATTAAGTCAGAATTAGAAGAAGGCCAACGGAGTCAGAGTCCGAGGAGATAAACAGGAGGCAGGAGGCACAAACTGTAACCAGAGATGTCACAGGACCAGGGCTCAAGGGACTACTTGGGATGGGGAAAGCCAATGAAGAGTCCAAGGGTATGAGCATTCTAGAGGATAGGAGCTGGGTTCAGAGATACTGGCGAGTTCAGGAGGGAGATGTGAGAGAGGACAGGTAGGCTCCAAAGGTATGGCCAGAGGCATAGGGGCTGGAGCACTCAAAAAATGGTCGAAGGGTAGAAGTTGGGAACAAGCAACCCAGCAGCGAGGGCCTGAGAGAACACAGGGGTCGAGCCAGAGTGCCCAAAGGGTCCGGGGAGCAAAGAAACAGCCTGCAAGTTCTCGGTGAGAAAGCAGAGGCCAAGGACAGAGCTCTCCGCAAAGCTAAGTCCGCCTCCCTCCCCCAAGACCTCTGTTTAAACCCAGACCCACCTCTCTCCCGCCGTTCAGTCTGCGACAGCGCCGCCTCTGTAGTCCAGGGAAACAGCCGGAGCCGGAACTCGGAGAAGATCCGCCCTACTTCTTCAGGATTGGGCTCTGGGGCCCATTCTTTATTTCTATTGGCTCTAGTAGCTGCCACAAAGCTAGAAGCCCAGCAGACGTACCAATCAACGTTGGTCTTGGGTGTGGCATGCTGGGAGTTGTAGTTATAAGATACGAAATGGGTAAAGTTTAAAAGCGAGCGGTTCCACAGAAGTCCTTGCTCTTTAGCTCCAAAGTAAGAGACACCCCGCCTAGAAAGGTGACTATGAAAGGTGACCAGGAAGACTATGTAAACCTAACCTTCAAGAAGTCAAGAACTCTTTACTTTGCATTAATGACCCTTAACGGGGTGGTGAGCCTCTCTCCAAATTTTATCATTTTATTTTGGTTTAAGAAGCCCAGGTAGTTTGAGAGGCTAAGATGCTCTAAAACCTTTGTATCCACAAGCGGATCTGTGGAAATAACAATTTCCTCTTCGATAAAAATCCCAATTAGAATTGTAAGAACTGAATTGTTTCTGCCTCAGAAAATGTCAGTTTCCTTTTCTAGTGGTGAGTTCTCTCGCCAAGTGTGATGACAGAGAACAATGTGTGTTAGTTTTAAGAATCGGGCTGAAGAAGTAGAAAGATGAGGCAGTCTCCTCCGGTTAAGATTTACAGCCTTGGAATCTGGATGGGGTTGGCTGTGAATTGGAATTGACAACAGTGGGTTTGGTTTGGGGTTTCCGTTCACAGGCAGAGATGCCTGGTTTCTGCAGGTGCTATCAGAAGATATGACCATGTCCTTCATTCATCCAATCTTAATTTTGTGTCTATTCAGACTCACTGACTTTCTGAGGCTGTAAGTCTTAGTGGGAAAAGACAGCTGGCAGATTTAAACCGTCCATCTTTTGGTTAGCAACGCAGCAAGCAAAGTACACAGAGCTCTTTGGTCTCAGGGAACACATGGTGAGGGTTCATCTTGATTTTTATTTTCATCCCACCACTCACTGGATGATCAGGATCATGGACAAAATAGTCAAAAAAGAATGCAGAAATGTGACAGATACCAAAGAAATTCTTTCAGCTACCTTAAATCCCAAATTCATGATTTTCTTTCTTTTCCTTCCTTTTGACAAGTGCCACATCTACACAGTGTCTCCAGACTCCACCACCAGACTAATCCAGCCTCTTCATTCAAGGATGCTGCATGTGTCCAGGCCAAGGAACTACCTTCAGGTCTGCTAAATACACCTGGGCAGGGATTTTCCTACATGCCTCCCTGACAGTTCAAATCCTACAGGAACTGCACAGAAGATGGGACGTCTCCAGTTAGAATTCACTGTTTCTGAAAACCAAGAGAAGGTTCCTTCGAATTACAATCAACTTGATGGCAGTGAGTTTTGACACGTATCCTTAATTAACCCTGACAGTCATTTATTAATCCATACATAATAAAAATATACCATCCAGGATTAGGGCATATTTTCCAGTTTTAATTTTAAGGCCAATTGAATATGTAGGTAATAATTAGACAGTAGGTATATCTAGCTGTGTAGTATTTCAGTGCAGGGGGAAAAAGTATTCCCTTCTGAGCTAGAGAAGTCAGATTTATAATCTCAGCTCTACCATGTAATCATTAGGGATCTCATTTCCTCTTTCTTAAAATCCCTGTTATGATTGTAGGGATTTAGTTGTTTCTGCCTCAGAAAGTATCAGCTTAATTTTCTTCTGATGAGTTTTCTCACTGAGATGACTGTGACCCATGTATGTTGGTTTTAAGATTGTAATATTCAGGAAAGTGTGTTTGAAACTGGATATCACTCATTCATTGCCTTTGAGTTAGAACTGCCTCATGGCTGACTTTCCATTTGGTTTCGGAGGCTGTAAATCATAGAGCAATAGATGAATTTGTACATTATTAATGACTACAAAAAAGGGCTTAAACAAAGCAAAAGTTCTAAGTACTTGCAAAGAACAGGGCAGTGTTTTCTTTTGTTGTGTGTTGGGTCACTATGAATTGGAACCAACTTAGTGGCACCTAATAGTGTGCTTTGTATGTAATAGTGCATTAATAGCTTATAAAATATAATAGTATATAAATATATATATACACTATATATATACACAATACACACACACACACACATACACACACATATACTGATATGGCAGACTCAGGAATAAACTGTGGTTTTAGTAATTGTGGTTAAAGTTTGCTTAGGTGAACTCAACAGTGTCTGGAAATCAATTCTATAATGTGTTTTTCTCTAGCAGTCCAAAGTCCTACTCTACAACTGCTCACTGACGATAAAAACCACAGCATGCTGAATAATGAAAAGTGTAACTTTTATTTAAGAATTGTATAAAGACGAAAAAAAATCCACTCAAGCACTAACATAGGGGTGGTCTTACTGACAGACAAAAAGATCCAATTACTCTTGGTTGTGTCCCAGTCTGCAAGCTGATAGCCAGTATCTCTACAAGCAGGCTAGGTCACATATGAGGTGTGATTTTAAGGTAACTAGGCTTCTTTCTGCAAGGCACACTGGAAAAATCAGCCTCAATATTTTATCCTCACACCTGGCCTCCCACTTCCTATTTTAAAGCAATATGATATGACTTAAGAAACAGTTTGCTACACAAATAAAAGCTCCTATGTTGGCTAAATGTGTTACTTTCTAGCTGGGCCTCACTGAATCTCATGAGAGGGAAGCCTTTGATTGAAAAGATTAGCACACTAGGTTGACTCATCTGCCTGAACAATCATCACAGAGTTGAGTTTCTCTTTTCTGAAGCTATACTTTGCAGTTCTGTCATAGTGTTCCTGGGCTTTTAAGGATTATGACGATTATAAGGATTTTTGTATCTGGTTGTCATTGCTAGACAAATTCATTTTCTAAAACATGTATGTTAGCTCTGGGTGGTATAGAAAACTGAAAGGTTGGTGGTTCAAGTCCACCCAGAGATGCTTAAATAGTTTACTTCTGAAAAAATCAGCTACTGAAAACACTGCAGAGCACTTTCTGCTCTAAAACCACAGGGTCTCCTGAGTGAGGACCACTTGACACCAGCTGTTTTATCTTTTTTCCCATTAGCTATGGATGTCATCAAACTATTTTGTAAATGGTATAATAGAAAAAAGAAGACATTTCACCCATATTCCTGAAAAGCAGGGAGGGAAGGTTTTCCATACAAAGTATATTTACTTTCAAAAACTGACTTGGGGGTTATGGGCCTAAATAAAGGGGGGGGGAGAGATGGGAAGGATAAGAAACAAAATTCAATCTGGAACTGATCACACAACTAAAGTCGTGTGCAGAATGAGGTAGAAAGAAGTTGTAATTACTCTCCTGGAGCAGAGAGCCTGCTCCCATGAATCTGTGCTCTAAATCAGTGACATTACATGCAACATCTCCAGTTAAGCCTAAACTGACTTAGCATTCGGTTTTCAGGAATTTTCCTTGTGGCCTGCGGAGGGAGCGCCGTGGGAGAAAGGAGCTAGGCAGAGAACCCACAGTCAAGGGTTTGGATTTGTGGTAAGGCGATGACACGTTCCGGAACTGGGAGTTGGTACAGGAACTGCAACCCAGGATTCAAGCTGAGTGGTCAGGAGAGCAGGAATCCCTAAAAGGAGGGCACCTTGAGCCCCTGAAGGGCCGGGCCGAGGTCAGCAGGCCAGGACAGCAGCATGTCCCCGAGTGCCTGAGGCGGCAGTAAGGAGGAGTCCACTTTCAGGGACACGTCTCCATTAGCATGGCCTTTTCCTTCTGGCCTGGCATCTGTTGACTCTTCTGCTGTTTGGAGTTCTGAACAGATGACTAGAGGGGCTGTGTTTTTCCCCTCATCGTGAAGGCAAGGTTCAAAGAAAGGGCGCAGAGGGCCAGAGAAACTGTGGGTGAAAGTAAAGATGTGGGATTTGTGGGTCACGTTGAAGAAGGAGAGCAGGCCCGCTTCGTAGTCCAGGAAAACGCCCACACAGCGCGGGGGCTCCCGGAGGCTGAGCGGTGTCTGCGGGGACGTGAGAGCTTCGTACTGGTTGCCTTGGCTCTGCCGCACCAGCCAGTGGCCGTTGGAGGGCGAGGCGGTCACCTTGCCCTTCCTGCTCACTGACTCGCTGCACACCCCAAGGATCCACTTGGTCTTGTCTCCCACGCACACCTCCCAGTAATGACAGCCGGCCGTGAAGCGCTGGGAGCCCAGCACGCTGACGACGAAATCGAATCTCTGCGGGTTGTCGGCCACAGGCTGCTTCCGGTCCCCGAGCCGCACGCATCTAAGGTCCTCGGACAGGATGAGTTTGGGGTGCGCTGTGTCCGGATCCAGGGTCACAGGCACTGCAAAGAGAGAGAGTCACACAGCGATGAGGTTGGTGAAGGCCGATCTCAGGGAATTTGGGGTTGGCTTTGAAGGGAAAATTATCTCTAGGCCTGTAACCACTGTCATTGATCCATTTTAGTTGAGGGTTCCCACCTGCTGATGTGCTAGAACCAACCATTTCATTGTCATTCAGTCTTCTAGATCTCTCAGTAGAGTAGTTAAAGAAGGGGGGGAAGGTTCTTGGTTGTGATGTTAATCCACAAGGAATGCTAACATTGTCTTCAGTTTCCCAAAGGAACCTAATGTTGTGTGTGGTGGATTTGGAACAAATAGCTGACCCTCCAGCGGATTTTCAGAGACTATAAGTTGCACAGAAGAAAATTTCCTGTCTTTCCCGTGGAGCAGTCAGTGGATTTGAATCTCATGCCTTTGGGCTGGTAGTGTAACTTACCACTAAGCCACCAGAGCTCCCTAGAAACCTCATAGTAGTGACTATAAACATAGACTTAGGTAGTAGACCCACTTCGAATCTCAGGTCTCCTACTTGCTAATTATGTGACCTTGGTTGGGCAAGGTTTTTTCCTTTCTAAACCTTTGTTTCCATATCTATTAAATGGGATAATAATAACTCCTACCCTGTGTCTCTGTTCTGTGGATTTGCTGAGCTAATGCAATAAGGCAATGCCTGGTTCATACAAGGAGTGTGTAATACTCATTTTACTGGTTGCAATTATTGCTTATAATTGTAATTTTAACATGTTAATATTTGGAAAAGAAGTCTTCCTTAAAATTGTGTGATCTTTGGTGGTTCCCAGTGAGGTTCCCTTCGCCCACAAACCTGGAAAACAGGCTCTTTGTTAAATCAGTAAAATCTATATTGGGTGGAGGTAGTAAGAACAAAGCAGACCGTGACTGTGACACAGAAGAAGTTGCAAATTCCGAGACAGTCCACCAAGGTGACCTCAAGCTGTCTCAAGTGGATGACTAATAAGTTCTGTTGTGCCCAGTCTAAGGAAGATAGTGTGACAGGAAGAAGATGAGAAGTACAGAAAATTGATAAGGACTCGAAAACAGTGAGAACAGATACCACTCAAACAGCAGCAAAAACAACAAAACTATAAACCCTTTAATAATCATTTAAAAGAGAGAAGCCTAAATGTTTTACACTAAAACAAAAGCTCCTATGTCATCTACATTGTTGAGGCAACTATCTAACCCATTCATTCCCCTCTCTTCCAAGAATCCCAGCCTTCCCCTCCCCCAAGACTACTGGCCTATGGAGAAAGAAGGATGTAGCATATGTGTAGTAAGAGCAGACTCAGACTGACTCTACAGCCTCGGGAGAGGAAAGCTCCTGAGGATGAGAACATGGAAAAGATGACTACATTTGACTACACAAAGCAAACATTTTGTGCATTTGAAGAAAAAAATACTTTGAGGAAATTAAAATAAATCAGAAACTGGAAAAATTATTTGTGACAAATATGGCAGAGTTAATATAATTGACAAGTAAAAAAGTAGCCAGAATAGGACACCTTAAAAATAAGCAGATAAATAAGAAATACAAATAAGTAATGAACTTAAGAAAAATATCACATATCAAGCCGAACATTTATCAGTGCTCTGAAAGAAGGAACCTTTCTAAATCAAAACATAACTTCCTGCCCCCCAAAAAAATCACGAAGGGAAATAAATGGCTATTGAAAACCAAAACCAAACTCACTGCAGTAAATATGATGAAAAATAAAAAATCACACTCTCCTTTCCAAAGGCATGGAGCAATAACTACGATCACAGAGTATTAAGGAGAATGGCCTCTAAATGGGCATTAACTCTCTGCGCAACTTACAGAAGTGCAGCCGGGCCCTTCTCCAGCCTGAAAGATACAAAAGGGGATTTGTTGAAGTGCTGGAGAAATCCAAAACTCCCAGAGGGTAGGGTCAAGTGTGGGATAAAAGGCATCTCACCTGCATTTGCTGCTGCTCTTTTCAATTCTAAAAAAGAAGAAACAAAGGAATGAGTGATCACTCTCAATACAGAATCAATGGAAGGTAAGTTGGTACAGAAGTTACAAGGACACAGGGCACTTACTCAATTCACTCCGGTGTTTCTCTAAAGAATAAAAAGAGTTTTACAATCAGAATATTGCATTCTACGTTCTCATAATGTCACAGTCCTGTCTCAACCAAACTTCCATTGTAGACCCTCACTGGAAGTATCCTAGAACATCCCCATTAACAGTGTTCAGAATTATAGTGCCTCTATGGCTATGAGCCCTCAGGTACTGCAAAGAGCCAAGAAATGCTTCTGTACGCCTAACTTTGATTGCACACTGAATAAATAGCATGTCTCACACATAGATGAATGTAGAGAGATGTTGTAGGGATGAATAAAATATAAGTTAATTTGAAGGTATCGTTGAATATTTTTATTGCAAAAATATATATGACAGAACATGTCATTTTAAATTGTGCATTTCAGTGACATCAGTGCGTTTACTATATTGTACATCCATGCTATTGTTAGTTGCCATCAAGTCGGTATCGACTCATGTTAACCTCATGTGTGTGTTGTGACCTTTCAAAAATGGATCACCAAACCCCTCGGCTGAGGTAGTTCGGGGTGGATTCAAACCACCAACCTTTCAGCTAGCAGTCAAGCATTTAATTGCTTACTCAACCCAGGGATTCTATTCCCATGATTCTGCTGGAGTTTAGTATGTGTATTTTCTCATTGTAAAATAAAATGGGCACTTCACTTGTCTGTTGATTTCTAAGCTAAAAAGATCTTCCTTCTGTCCTGAGAAGTGAAATAGACCCATATCTTGAAGCAAAGGTGCCAGTAGAGGGAGGTCTGTGCCACTGATGGGGCGTAGAACTTACTGAGGGCTTTGTGGAGTCTTCCTGAAGGGAAAAAAGAGAGAGAGAGAGATGTGGCCATTTATTCTTGCAGGTAATGTGGAAAGTGTTTGCATATTCTATTTTGACCTTTCAGATCCCTTCTTCCCAGAACCCCCTAATAGAAAGAATAAACATTTTGGAGGTGAATGAGTATGGACATTGAGGAGCATAAGATATTTCCTTTAGAGTTGTTTTTAAGCCTAAATTTCTGAAACTCATAAAGATTTTCAATTCTACTCTGTGCTACATACTATTGTTTCCTTTCATATAAAGACAATGTCAGATGATATTTCTTCAAATATTTTTAAGTAAAATCTTTTCTCTCTAATAAAGTGTTATGTTTTATGTATACCCATATACATATACCTAGCAGAAGCATGAATTTTAATACTAGCTTTCAAAGATACAGTGAGAGGGAAGACTCATAGCTGGCCTAATACTAATGATACTATGTTTATCATTCTATCTGGGAACGCTCCTGAAGTCCTGCGGTTAGGGTCACAAATGTGGAGATTCCAGAACCTTTGCTTATGAGTCCTTTCTCTGGTCATGTTGTTATATGCAAATGAGTAAACCACAACTCATAGCAAATCATATAAAACAAAATGAAATCTGGCCTGATCCTGCACCATCCTCACAATTTCTGCTATGTTTAAATTCATTGTTTCAATACTTATGTCGATCCATCTCAATTAATGTCTTGTTCTTTGCTAACCCTCTAATTTTCCAAGACACTGTCCTTCTCCAGGGGTTAAGTCCTCCTGATAACATGTCCAAAGTATGTGAGACGACATTTCATCATCTTCACCTCTAAAGAGCGATCTGACTATACTTCATCCAAGATAGAGAGGTTTGTTCTCTTTGATGTCCACGTTGTACTTAATATACCTTGACAACACAATTCAAAGGCAGAACTCATCTTTTGTCTTCCTTATTAATTGTACAACTTCCACATACAGAGGAAGCAAATGAAAATACTGTGTGTCATAAGACAGACACTCATTAATCTTTTTTTTTGCACCCATTAATCTTTAAACACATCGTTGCTCTTTATCACTCCAAAAAATTTCCTTGGCAGCATATATGCCCAATACAATATATCTTGATTTATTTGCTCTATTTCCATGGGTTATATAGGGTAGCTAGACAAAAGATTGAAGTTGTCAATGATTTCATCTTACTTAGATTCACAACCAACACCTTTGATACCAGCAGTCAAGAAATCAAAAGACAAGTCACAATGGGAAACTCTATGGTCAGGGACCTCTCCAGAGTACTAAGGAGCAACAATGTCTGTTTAAATACTAAGTAAGGTGTGCCTGACTCAAGCCGTGGTCTTCTCAATTACTTGCTATGCATCTGAAAGTTGGACAATGACTAAGGGTGACAGAATAAGAATCAACACTTTTTGAGTTGTGGTGTTGGAAAAGAATGCTGAATGTCTCACAGATTGCCAAGATAAAGTGAAACCACGGTGCTCCTCAGAGGCAAGAATGGAGACACTTCATCTCATTTACTTTGGGCATATTGTTTAGAGGGGCAGTCTTTGGAGAAGGACATCATGCTTGGAAAGCTGGAGGCTCAGCAAAGAGAGAAAGACCCTTAACAAGAGGGATTGACACAGTGACTACAGCAATGGGCTCAAGTATGTCAAGGATGATACATCCTCATCATAGGAGTGAATAGGACACAGTTCAGATCCATTGTTCACAGGGTCACTGTAAGTTGCAGTCAACTTGAGAGCACATAACAACAGCAACTTCCATGGGTGTTGATTGTGGATCCAAATAAGATTAAATCCTTAACAACTTTAAAAAAAATCCTTAACAACTTCAATCTTTTCTCCATTTATTATGATACTATAATCCTATGGGTCCAGTTGTGAAGATTTGTTTTCTTGATGTTGAGGTGTAATCCATACTGAGGGCTGTAGTCTTCTTCTTCTTCAGTAATTACGAAGTTCAAATTTTATACACTTTCAGCAAGCAAGGTTGTGTCATTTGTATAACGCAGGTTGTTGATGAGTCTTTCTCCAAGTCTGATGTCACATTCTTCTTCATATAGTCCAGCTTCTTTGATTAATTGCTTAGCATGATGTAAGCCACGACAATATAACAAACCAATAAATGAGTGGTGGAGATATATATATATATTTGTTGTTGTTATTGTTAGGTGCTATTCTATTGACTCTAACACAGAATGACCCTAAATCGAGAGTCTTGCCTGACAGACTCTGAAAACTCACACTGGAAGGTCAACTATTAAGTTGGTTCTGACTCGATGGTGCATAACAATAATAACAACAACATATATGAATATATAATACATGTGGTAATAATGGACTCTTCACATTTATGTTGTTGTTGTTATGTACCGTCGAGTCGCTTGTGACTCATAGCGACCCTATGTACAACAGCCCTAAACTCTACTCTGTCCTGCGCACTGTCTCTGACACTCCCATCCCGATTAACCCAGTCACTGAATCAATCCACCCCATAGAGGGTCTTCCCCTCTTGCACTGTCCTTCCACCCTACCAAGCATGATGTCCTTCTCCAAGGACCTGTCTCTCCTTACAACATGTTCAAAGTATGTTAGACGGAGCCTCAGAATCCTTGCCTCCAAGGAGCCATCCGGTTTAACCCTCTCCAGGACAAATCTGTTTGTTTTCCTAGCAGTCATGGTACTCTCAATACTCTTCTCCAGCACCACAGCTCAAAGGCATCAATTCTCCTTCTAACCTCCTT